CACAGTTTATCAGTTAATAACAAGCAGGCATCAACAGAACACCATAGTACCAAAGGAAATTGGCGACAACAAGAGCAGACCCCTAAGCTCAACATAGAACGCGCAGAGGCTCTTAAAACAAACTCTTCTTGTTTAATCTTCCAACCAAAAAAGATCTGCATGACAATTTGTGGAAGGCCAGATCAAACTCTGGAAAGGTGCCCAGCGTTCCAAACGACATTTATCAGACTTACTTGGCATTGGACTTACAGAGATCGACCTCGTTAGGACTGAACTCTTGAGTACCACAAATCAAAGCCAAAAAATTTTGTTAACTTTTTCCTCTACTAGACTGCCCTCACTAATTCACAAGCTGAAATTCAGATTGTCAAGCAGAGGAGTTTTTCCAACCCGGGTATTTTGCAATTCTATTGTTGCACCCTTATGTAAGATGAGGACTGGTGCTTCAGAGGGGCCCACAAAACCAAAGCCTGGATCCCCAATGGAAGTAATGACATCACAAAAAGACTTGGCAGGTGGGGAGGAAACAGACATGCCTGAGTTGAATCCACAGGATCATGCCCAACATCAAAATAACCAGGTGAGCCAAAAGGAACAGCCGATTCCTCTAGATAATCATCTTCAGGAATCTGAGCACTCTGTAAATCCCTTGGAAGAGGATTTCCTCAGCTCCTTTAGGAATCTCCCTCAGGAAGAGCAACAAACAGTTATCAAGAGGCTTGACCTTATGAGCCAGACATTGAAAGAGATTAAAGAACCGGAGGCAGAGACTGATAATAGACCCAATGGCCACAACAGAATGATAACTATAGAACCACCAGAGTATTGGACAAAGATGAGATATTTGGAAGAGGAGGAGTCAGGAAATACACCCAAGAAATCCCCATTGGCAAACAATTTGCAAAGAAAAGGCCCAGTGATTACAAATGTGAGTACTTTATGTACGACGACTGAAATAATCGAACATCTGGATTATTCCACTAGCATTAGCAATAACCTGCCTCAAAAACTGGTAAACTCCGAGAGCACATCGGCCAACAATTGACTAAGAGTAAATCACTGTAAAACAATTAAACTTCTCTCATGGAATGTAACAGGGTGGACGAACAAGATCCAAGACAGTGACTTCTGTTCTTATCTACAAACACATGATATCATCTTTCTTCAAGAAACCTGGGCAAAAGAGGGCACTATGGTTGAATTACAGGGTTTTACAAGTTACACTCAACCAGCTCTTAAAACTGTAAAGTATGGAAGGCCTAGTGGGGGGCTGGCGGTGCTGGTGTCAACCTCTCTTAATGTATCAACTCAACAGTGTCCCTTGCTGACCACCCCAAATTTTTTAGTGTTGTCCCTTTCTGATAGTCTCCTGAGAAATACTTATTGCATATGTGTGTATATACCTCCAGTAAAGTCTTGTGGGGAACTGAGATCATATTGGGATAAACTTGACCAACTACTTGAAAGTATTGACTCTCTGTCACCTAACCCTCGGATTATCTTGGGAGGTGACTTCAATGCCCGGATCGGCCTTGTTTCCCCACAAAATACAATATTATCTGGTCTAAACTTGGAGGATGAACCTGAAATCTGTCAGAGGGCAGCAATGGACACCACCTCTAATCGCGCCGGGAAACATCTTTGTGAACTTATAATAAAGCATAACCTTTTGTTATGCAATGGGCATGGTCAAGGGGATCAAGAGGGTTATTTTACTTTTACCTCCCCCAGAGGATTTACTAGCACCATAGATTATATCCTAACATCTAATAATGTGCCAGTTAACCGAGATACCTTCAGGATAATTCCTAGAGCTGAAAGTGACCACTTTCCACTTGAGTTATCTCTGACATTATTCTTTTCTCCTGCCTTTCCTAAATTATTGGATGAAACAGAATATCTGATACTTGGAAATAGAAGGTTAAAATGGAATGCACAGGTCCAAGAAAAAATGATTCAGATCCTGGATTCCCATGAATTTGCTTTATTAAAGGGGAAAATGTTGTTAGAAACAGGAAACGTAATTGGACTTTATGAGAACATAATCAACCAAATGCGCCCACTGATGACCACAGCTAGTGTGATAAAAAACAAAAAGTTTAAGAGACAGACTTGGTTTGATAAGGAATGTCAGAATAGCAAAAAATGCCTAGCTAGGGTACTTAGAAAATTGAAGTTAAAACAGGATAAGCACAATCTTGCCCTACAAGCTGAGGTAGCCCAGTTACGAAACAACTATAAATTATTACTTAAAAGCAAGAAACAAATATATTATGAACAACAGTGGAAAGAATTGGGAGATGCAGCACTTCAGAAGGACTCACGGAAATTTTGGCATCTGGTTGCCCAAGGCACAAATGCGCTGGGCTACTCGTTAGAAGCATCTGTCCAAGGAAAGGATTGGGTGACATATTTTACAGAAATATATGGCCCCTGCCCTGACCTATCCCCACAAGTTTACTATACCCAGTTATCAGAACTGCCAGAATGGCCAGACGTCACGCCCAATCAAATTAAGAGGCTAATCGCAAGCCAACTAGCTAATAAAGCTCCAGGAGAAGACATGATCCCAATGGAGATCTATAAAATAAGACCTGATTTCTGGTCACCCATATTTGCAAAATTGTTTTCATACATTAACAGCTCAGGTCGTATACCTGAAGGGTGGAAGTTGAGCATAATTGCCCCAATATATAAAAAGGGTGATAAGAAAAACCCTGCCAATTATAGACCCATTAGTTTGTTAGATGTAGCCTCCAAACTATATGCCAGGCTCCTTCTTGGGAGACTAGAAGAATGGGCAGATACAAATAAGGTGATATCTGAAGTCCAGGCAGGTTTCCAAAGAGGGAAATCCACATTGGACCAGTGCTTTGTGCTGAACTTTCTGCTATGTAAATACATCCATAACTTGAAGCAAAAATTATATGTTGCTTTTATCGATCTAAAGTCAGCTTTTGATACGGTCCCAAGACACGCTTTGTGGCAAAAACTGGAAAAGACAAATATAGATCTCCGTCTATTATTTCTCATCAAAACATTATATACTGACACATCAATACAAGTAAAGGTGGATCTGGCTGGCCATCTCACCACTAGAATTAAGACCACCACTGGAGTCAAACAGGGATGCATTTTGGCACCTTTCCTGTTCAATTTTTATATTAATGACATGGTTAAAGAACTGGAGGGCCTACAGTTTGCCCCTGTCACAATTCTCGACCAAAAACTCTCAGTTTTAATGTATGCTGATGACCTAGTACTTGTATCTAGAACCCAGGTGGGCCTGAGACGGCTGCTTGCAAAATTAAGTTCATATTGCATGAGGAATGCTTTATCTATAAACTATGACAAGACGCAGGTCATTGTATTTGGGAAGCGTTCCAAAAAGCATGTTTGGCACCTGGATGAACACATCATAAACCAAGTAAATACGTTTAAATATCTGGGATTGATTTATTCAGAAACGGCATCTTGGAATACACAGCTATCCAATATCAAATTGCAAGCCTTTAAATCAGCAAAAGCCATTCTGAAATTCGCTGCATGTAAAGGTGGAAATCTGGTCAACCCAGCTCTATCTGTGTATAAAGCAAAAACAATGGCCCAGATTTTATATGCGCAGAGGTTTGGGGTACCTCAAAGGTCTCCGGTCTGGAACCCCCACAGAATTATTTTTTAAGAGTTCTTTTAGGTTTACCCAAAGACATGCAATCTGCCATGGTCAGGTTGGAAACTCACATGTTGAGCATAGAGAGCCAAATAGATAAAAGAATTCTCTGTTACTGGTTTAGAGTTCAACAGATGGACAACACTAGGCTACCAAAAAAATGCCTGATTGAGCTCTCAAATGGATTACCCCTTAAAAACTGGGTACATCATGCTGCTCAACTGATGGGCAAATATGATCTCTCAGTGACTGAGATTAAAGAACTCCCCTTATATTCACAGAAAAATATGTTTAAACGAACCATAAGGGCAGTGGCAACTAAAAACGATCTAAACTCTATGTGCACATCTACATGCGCCCCATTGTATTTTAAACTTAGAGAGGTCAATGAACACATATCTTATTTTAATGAATTGACTTTTGCACAGCTTCGAAAAGCTTTTACAGAGCTACGACTAAATACAATAAGCTCTGCTTATAGAGATGGGAGACATAGAGGCATACCAAAAAACGAACGTGTTTGCATTAGGGGATGTTCTGAAGTAGAGGACCTTATGCATTATATCTTGCACTGTCCGTTATATAATGATGCAAGAAAAAGATTTTTGGTACCTATAATGACAGGGTCCCCTGGCCAGAACCCCCTCGATATGATGTTATATCTCCTTGCAGACACAGATAAGTATGTGACCTGGCGGGTAGCACTTTTTGCAACTGCTGCCAGGAAAATTAGAGCAAATTATATAGCCAAGGTAGCCATTAACTGTAAAGGAGATGAATTTATTTGATCCTATCTATCTACCTCAGGCTATGCTCTATCTTTGTCACCAAACTCTGAGTATAAATTGCACACTGTATTAATTGATATTGTTTTTAACATTAGTGACCATGTGATGATTTTAGCTTATGAATTTTATTGTTTAATGTTTTTATTTGTACATTGGGGTACTTTTATAGCTTTGTTTAGAGTATGTAATGTTTTAATAATATAAATGTTTTAAGCCTTTTTTTACCAATTCAGTATATTTACTTTTAACTGTCAAATAATTCTGTGTACATTGCGGCAGCCTTTGGCTATGTGCAATAAAACTGACTGAGATAGTGCCTATTAATCAGCTCCAAAGGAAATTGGGTGGAGCTTTTGCTCGGGAGGGAGGGCAGGAGGCATGCAGCCCGCCCCTCCCTGTGCATTTTGGGCTGGGGGAGGGGCGGCGATGGCGCTCTGCTGGAGGGGCGCCGGAGATTATTGGGGGGGCGGAGCCCCCCCAAACGAATTTTTGAGGGGGCTCGGGCCCCCTCAAGCCCCATGGAGTCGGCGCCTATGCACAGGACTCCGCATTCTCAGTGAGGCCAGTTTGAGAGAAGAGAACATGCTGTGGCTGGGTTGCAGTTTACTGCTGGCGGCTCTTGCAGGTACAATCCCCCCCCAAAAAAATCTGGACAGTTTATCTGCCCAAGAATAGACATGAAATGTTGGGTGAGGATGAACAAAACTGCAGTACAGAAGCTGGAATGCAAATCCACGGCCATCAATCCAGTAGAGGTGTCCTGGCAACAGAGGAGGGGAAGGAGAACCAGGCAGTTAAGCCAGGAAACAGAAATACAGGAGGGCTATCACCATTGTCAGTCATACTCAGATTTAACCCACTGATATTAATGGGCATGGCTAACTTAAGTCCACTGATTTCAGTGGGACTACTCTGAGTATTACTTAGTTGGATACAACCCAAAAACCCATTCTCTACACTGACCATTCAGACTATTCACCCAGTCCCACTTTATTAAAAAAGCTCAGTGGTGTTAGACTTACCATAGCAGCATTTGGTCAATCTGTGCTGTCCATCACTGAATTTGTTCTGTAACAGTGTGTGAAACTGACATATCCCTAAGCAACTTGGTCCCAAAGTACCATGAGACCCCAAAGTACTTACTTTCCAACGTGACCACCACGATCTGTTGATGGGGCACTTCTGCTGGTCTCCTCACCCCAATGAACCCCGAGGTTTAGCTGGACGTCATTAGGGATTGAGCCTTTGGTGTGGCAGCCACTGCCCTGTGGAACTCCCTGCCACCAAGAGCCATCCCTCCCTTCAGACATCTTTTGAAAACTTTAATGTTTAGAGAAGCCTTTGTAACATGAATCTTCTTTCATAGTATTGTAGAGTTGGAAGGGACCCCTAGGGTCATCTAGTTCAATCCCCTGCAATGCAGGAATCTCAACTCTGTTAACTAATTAGTATTTATTGGCATTTTAATGATGTTTTCATGCTGATTTTATTCTCATATATAATAATACACATATACAGTACATATATATGGTTGTAAGAAAATAAATTAACAGCTCGTATCAGAATACTGTAATCAAAAGCAGTCAATTATTTGGGCTGATTGTACAAAGAGGAAATGTCACTATTACATGGGGCAAACCAGCAGTGTTACTTGTTATAGTTACTGTTTTGGAATAGTCTACAATAATACATTATGATCTTTCCTGTGGTTTAAAACTGTGGCTTTTATTTTAGCAGTATGAGTGATGGTATGTAGAACTCTGGCAGAAATTAATCAGGAACAGTTGCCAGCCACACTTACTTGCAATATGAGACCAATAATTCAAAGGATTCCTATGCAGGGAGATGGAGGTGGAAAGCAGGATATGGTGGCAAAAAGTTGAGCCTTTGTTTACTAGCAGGAAGAGATTGCATGCAGCGCCCTCATCTAGCTACCGTAGTCTGGCTAACAGATGTCATGGGATAGGCTGGATACCATTTCCTGAGTTCACAAGGCCACATTGCATTTTAGCATGTTCCTAACCAGTGAAAAAGTCTTGATTTTTTCCTCTACCAATTATATATTGAGCTGTTGCAGCTGCTGAGAAGTTGGTTGGTAGTGCCAAGTGCCAACAAGATTCTGTGCCGTGGCAAGTCTCCCTCCAGTCAGTGCACCATGTCTGCAGTGGGGCCCTCATCAGCCAAGAATGGGTGTTGTCCTCAGCTCAGTGCAGCAGGAGGTGGGTATAAGCCTGCTTCACACCCTTTGCACACAATCTGTCTCCCACAGGGAATAAAGTCCATTCTCTGCTGTTGGCTGCTCTGTTCTCATTTGAAATAGGAGGGCAACTTGTGCATTTGACTGCCTGCCTACAAGAATCCTTGAGGGTGAGCAAGGAATCTTTCAACCCAGGCTGAGGCAGAAAAACTCTAGGGAGAACACTATTGACCCACCTGCTCTTCTTCCAGCAGCCCAGACCACATGGAGGTCTGGCTTGGCCTACAAGTCCCTGAGACTCTTCCTAAGGAGAAGCAACAGGTCATTGCTGCTGCCAAGCTGGTCCCTCATAAGCAGTTCAACAACTACACACTGGACTATGACATCATGCTCATCAAGCTTGCACAACCAGCTGTCCTGGGTGAGCTAGTGCAGCCCATCAGTTTGCCCAGCCAATGTGCCATAGCTGGGACCCAGTGCCTGGCTTCAGAATGGATCAGCAGCAACTGTGAGTACAGAGAGGGTGGTGCTGAGAGACTAACCAGGACCAGCAACAACTGTGACAGACTGGAGCAGGGGGCTGCTGGAAGATGCCCCTCTTCGTGGCCGTGGGGGATTATGGTGGGGACGCGCAAGGGGGCACTGAAGTTCCTTAGTGATGCATGGGATAAATGACACCATGCAAAAAAGGGAAGGGTAGATGAACGGCAAATGGTGGGAGGGAGGCACCAACAATTCATTGTACTATGATAGATTCATGGCAGGTGGCAGTGCCCCCTTGAAGCAGAAAGAGCTCAAGGAGAGAGGGGTGAGGCCTGAGCATAAGAGTCTCCCTCCTGCCTTGCCCCAGGCAGCTGCTCAGGATCAACATATTTTGGGCTTACAGCTGATGGAACAGACAGCCTTCTGCAGTGCTCCTACCTTCCAGTCACATCTGATGCCACTTGCAACAATGTCTACCCAGGACGGTTCACTGACAGGATGCTTTGTGCTGGACAGCTGGACAGCAGCCAAGATGCCTGCAAGGTGAGGCTCTTCTCTTTTTACTGGCAAGTCCAGTGATTGGGGGTGGGGGGGGGAGCAGACAAGCAGAGGCATACCTTGACTCCCTTGTGATCTTGGCCAGAAGCTGTATCAGTACATCTGAAGCTGGGAGAGACCATGGACCAGAAACTCCAAAAGTTTGCTTTTTGTCACCTTTCATGCTCTGCCTGTGATTTCCTCCATGACCACCAGGACTGCTCTTCTTCCTCTCTCCCTCCCTCTCTTCCTGCAACTCTCACCTGCTGTCTCTATCTTTCTTCTATCCAAGCGCCACTTGGCGCTCCACTCACAGTTCCAATATCACCACTGGCCAACCTGGGAGATGGTCCTGCAGGGCTGATGAGATGGGTGCCTAGAGGAGCCTGCATGCCTTGCCTGGCCTCCCAGATGGGCATGTGTGCTCCTAGCCACTTCAAGCCATGGGTGAGAGGTGTGGTTTTGGTGGCCCCCCTGCGCCTGCACTTTTTGGTGGGAGGTAAGGTTGTATAGGTGTCCCTGATTTTGAGTTCAGTAACATGGTCTAATTATGTGCATCCACACACACCATAGATGAATGCTTCCCTTCAAACTAGAGCTGTCTCCAACCAATTCACTCACAAGCACAAGCATGCTCCGTAGGCAGGCTAGTAGCTTACTGGCCAGACATTAACCAGAACTAAACAACAAAGCATAATATATTTGAAAAGTACAATAAAAAGCCATGTGCCAAATCCTCCCCATATCAAAGTTAAATAGTATTTATGTCATTCCCGCATTCTAGAGAGGGACAGAGGGGCTGTAAGCGCAAGCGCACACCCACCCCAACAGGGGAAGGGAAATTCTCCAGCTGCAAGAGCCAACCTCTTGGGAGGTACTTGTGGCTGGGGAAAGCCTCACACAGCTCCCTCTCTCCTGCTGCAGGCAGTGCTCCAGGGCCTGAGAGTTCAAATAACGACAGTGAGAAATTGCCATGATTTGATCCTGTCCCCTGGAGAGTCCCAATGCTGTTGTCTATGTCTTAGGGAGATGTGGGCAGCCCCCTGGTGTGTGAAGAAGCCCTCCAAGGACTGCTGTCCTGGAAGAAAAGCTGCAGTGAAGAGAATCGGCTGGGGCTGTACACCAAGGTCTGCATCTTTGAAGACTGGATCCACTACACAATTGCCAACAACTGAAGAGCAATAAAGCCAGATTGAGCTCTGACCTGGTATCTCGCTGCTCTGAGAAAGACCCTGTGATCTGGCACCACCAGCAATGCAATGACTATACAGGCCTGACTACTGTGGAAGAGAAGGCTTCTAGGAAGTCTACCCCCCAGTCTGCCCACCACCAGAGGGGTCATGGCTGAGGCAAGGGAGCAGAATCGAATGATTTGCTCCCTCACTCCTCAGCTTCCGGCACACCTCCTGGAATGGCTTGATTTCACATTATGGTAGATGTTGGTTAGGGTTTACCATGTAGGTGAGGGAATATGTTAACTATATTTTATTCCTCCACAAACCTGGCCAACAGACAAAACATCAGCTTATCGCTTGTGTTTAGAAGCACAGTGATGAGCATCTTAAACAGTAAAAACAAAAGCCTTTAGGCTGATCTCCCCCTTCTGTTACCCTGTTTATTATAGAAACAGGCCACCGACTGAAAGTATGCTTAAAACATATAGTTTACTCACAGTCAAGCACCTGTCCTTAGCAACAACAGCAGTAAAAATAAATGCAGGTAAAATACTTGTATTTACAGTGAAAGCAGCCTCAGGCATGAGCGTGATGCTGGAGCAAGCAGATACAAGTCTTCTCCCATTGGCTGGTTGGAGAGAGAGAGAGAGAGAGAGAGAGAGAGAGAGAGAGAGAGAGAGAGAGGGAACAGAAAATACTTTTCTTCTTCTTCCCTACCAAGAGAGGAGGGGAAATGAAATAACACAGAGCCTTCTCTACCAATTGCAATGATCTGAGTCCACCTAACAGCAATACTGCTCTGTGATTTTAATCCCCACACTTGCTTACTAGTAAGAATATGCATTTTTAGATTTGATTTCTAAACTCCCACAATATTTACTCCATGGAGCAGTTTCGTTAGCATCCCAGCCTTCCATGGCCTAACACAGTCAAAGCTCCATGAAAGAACCTACCACACCAGCACCCACCTAGAGCTGGCTCTGAAGTCTGCCTGTTTGTGAAGTGAGGCACTTGGGGTGCTCAGAGGCCCAACCTCTCCAACGGATGTAAGTTGCAGAGCTGCTGATTTCCATACCCCCTAAGGTACCCATTTCACACACCCCTCTGCGACATCACTGTTTCTGCCAAGAAAGTGCCTGGTAGGTTGAGGCACAACCTCTTCAGTTCTTTGCTCTTCATCCAAACTGGCTATCAGTTGTACTTAAGGAGGCCATCCAACAGTCCCTTGCCTGAGCTAAGCCAAGCCCCCTTGCCCACCTCACCAGCTTCTTACAGACATCTCAGTTCTGTTTTCCCATCACTGCCAACCACAGAGATGCCAACTGAGAGTGCCCACAAATGGCAAGTTTAGTTGAGTGTGTGTGTGACACTATGTCACTGCACTGAATGGTGCCCAAAGCAGCCTGAAACAAACACCAACTGATTATCAAAACACAGCATCCTTGGAGGTGGCTACTGCTGCTGAAAGCTCTTAACTCTGTCCCTTGACAAAAACAGGGTTATGACAGGAGGGATGCATTCCATTGTCTCTGCAGGCAAGGGCGGAGGAAGGGGGTGCGGTGGGTGGGTGCCACCCTGGGCGTCACCACTGAGGAGGGTGACAAAATGCTGGGCGGCACTCACCACAAGGCCTGCAGCATGCCCAAACCACCAGTGGTCAGGACCTCATTAGCAGGACCAGTGGTCAGGGATGATGGGCCTTGTATTCCCAAAACATTGGGTGACCCAAGGTGGAGAAAGGCTGCTCTGCACTGACTGGCAACCACTCTCTTTCTCACACAGGGCAGAGATACCTGGGTGCATTGGGTTCACTGATGCATTTGGTGCAGAAGTTTCCCCTACACAAGTTGCTCTCTCTGTGGTCTTTGTGGTCTTTAAGAACAGGCGAAAAAGTCCACTGCCAGTCCTTTGGCAAACACACAGGGCAGAAGTGAAACCAATTGAATCATCTGAAGCAAACTTAACAGTAATATAAGGCTATGGCTATAAGCACACTAACTTGAAAAAATTTTGTTGAGATCAAGTGTGACATTTTGGAACCTGGGTGAAACTATCCTGAAATGGGCAAGTCAGCATAGAGGTCTTTTTTTTTTTTTTTTTCTCTGTCTTTTGTCTTTACATGGAATGGCTGCAGGTCTGTCCTTGCACATTTTTCTGGAAGCAAAGTCCCAAATTTATGGGTTCAGGGAAAGGCCCAAAGAAAAAAATCTATGCCAATCCAGGCTATTTGCCACAGAAAGGCCTTCATTTGGCACCAACACCCAAGCTAAACACGCTGTCAGTTTGCCTCAGATTCTAGAGAATTGTAGGCTTCAGAGATCCCTAAGGGTCATCCAGCCCACCCCTGCAATGCAGGAAATACACTTTGATTGCAACTGACACTCACTCACTGTTGCTCACGAGCACCAGAAGCAGGTGTTGTCCCCTTCCAACGAAAACCCAATCTGTTTTTGGAGATCTGCACACACCTCCTCAGGTTGGGCAGGTGGCCATGTTTCCATTTCACTATTTCATGAAAAGTATGTGTTGCTTGATTGTAGAACAAAAAACCTCAAAGCAGTTTACAAAACCAGCAAAAGCACAGGCAAGTGCAGCAAAATCCTTGGCAGTGAGCATGGGCGGGGGGGGGGGGCAGGGGACAACGTGGGATTTTCACTTGAGTAAATGCAGGACAGGATGCCAGTATTGCTGAGAAGCATAGCTCTTGCAGGGGGACCTCCATGGACAGATGCAACCTAGCAGGGAATGGGCTAGGCTGGGGAGGGAGGCGAGCGAAGACCAGAAGCTTAATGCTGTGATGTAGCAGCAGCAGCAGCAGCAGCAGCAAAAAAGGCGAATGCTCTTCTCGGCTGCCTCCACAGAAGTCTAGTGTGCAGATCCAGGGCCCAAATCCTGGAGAGTCAGTGTTCAAGTTCAGAGGCAAGAGCATTTATGTTGCAGGCAAATCCTCACTGGTATCTGCAAGGAGGGCTGGGAGAGACCCCCACCATGCCACCTGAAGGCCCTGGAGAGCAGCAGCCA